CTCTTGAAGTGGGAGAGGAGAACAGAAAAAATAATTGGGAAGGCTTCTTCCTTCCTTCTTAAATGCCCCTTTTTTCTCTCCTTTGAAATCGATCTTTTCTTGTCTATGTCTTTGTCTTAGTGTTTTTCTCTGCATCTGTTTCTCACCATCTTTCTGTCTCATGCCAAGTCTTCTTTCTCCTCTCCTTGGTTCAGAACCAGCTTGGGTTGAAACCTGAGGTATTAGTGGCTTAATAGGCATTTTTGACTCAATGGGCTTCATCTTTCTATTCAGTCTTTCCTTACCTCACTGGCCTCTACAAGCACCCTGAGCATTAACCAGAGCACCCGATTTGGAGGCAGAGGATATGGGTTTAAATTTCAACGGCTACTTGCTACTACTTACCTTGGGCAAGGCACTTAAATTCTCTGGGCTTCAGTTTCCTCATCTATAAAATAGAAAAGTTAGACCATGCAATTTCTTAAGATCCTTACTAGTTCTAAATACTGTGATCTTAGCAGTAGAACAAGTGTGCAGGGGTAGGCTTTCATTTGTACTTCTGTCTTCTTCTGGGTGCTTCCCAATTTGCACTATTCCCTGGGAACATGGGGAGAAGTGATGTTTATTTACAAGCCAGAGAATTAAGTCTTGGAGAAATCCTAGGTAACGATAGGGGTTATAGAAATAGATGAATAGGCAAAAGGTGTGAAGAAAAGGAATGGTAACCAAGGAAGGTCTAAAATTTAGGTGGGAGTGAATCAGTCATTCAGTTCATCAGCAAGTATTTATTAAGCACTGACTCTGTGTTGGGCATTTTGCTGGGCACTGGAGATATATGTACCAAGAATGAAACAATCTCTCCTCTAAAGGAGGTTACATTCTAATAGGGAAAAGTGTAGACGAAGGGCAGGTTTGGAATGTCTTTGGGTGGGGGAGTGAAGGGCAGAAAGAAGCGTTGGGTTAGGGAGGGAGAACCCAGGACAGAAAGAAGTAAACAAGGGGAGCATAGCAGTAGGGGCGGGGATTGGTGCTGCTGGGAATCAGCCCCCTCACACTTTCCGATGTGAATCGAAAACAGTGAGCCCCAGAGGTGGTAGGAGGGGAGCAATAGAGAGGGGAAGTGGGGACGGTGGGGGAGAAAGAGGAGGAGGTATCATTGCTACTGGGAAGACAGGACATCAGAGAAGTACTCCACTCCAGCACTAGCTTCTCCCTTTTGTTCTTTGGCCTTTATTCCTTCAGCCCTCTCTGAATTCCGCTCACTTGATTTTTCTCTCCATTCCTCCAGTCCTCTTATTTCCGGCTTTCTACTTCTACCTCCTACCACCTGGTCTCTGGCTCTATCTTCCTCCTGGCATCCTCCCTATACTTCCCTCCCGTCATCTCTAGCCTGTGCTTCCCTGGAGGGCTCTATTCAGGCCTCCTTGGAGAAGAGATGCTGTGGGAGGTGAGATCCCTAGCCCAACTGCTGCTACTGTTGCTGGTTGCCAGAGGTAAGCCGTGGAGAGGGGCTGGTTTCTGTGTACCTGCGATTGAGTGGATGGGATTCTCTGTAAGATTCCTTGGAGATTGCCGCATCTTTGAGTGGGTTGTCTTAAGAGTTTTCCTCACGTAGATTGTGTACCTCTGAGCCATTCTCTCCAGTTTCTACCTCATTTTCCCCAGCTTCTCTCTTTCTCCAGCAGGGACTCAAATACCCAGGAAAGAAGTCCAGGTGGTATGGGCCAAAGAGGGTTCACCTGTTCAGCTCCCCTGCATCCTCTCAAGCATCCACCAAAACCTCTCTAGGAAGCACAGTTTTCTTTGGAGGGTGACTGTCACCTGGCAGCGCTGGCAGGACAGGTATGGATCCCAAATTCAGAAACCCAAATGTCTAATTCAATTCAAACTGTAGCAATACCTCTTTCCCCCTCAAATCACACCTTTCATACCTGTCCACCAGTTTATTCCTGTTTCTAGGCTCTTTGTTCTGTTCCCCAAACTTCCCTATCACCTAGAACCCCCTCATCTTCTCCCTCTTAACTCTTCATCCTGGCCTTGCCTGTTTTTAATCCATCCCATCCCACCCTGAAAGTTTCTAGCTTGCCTAGCCTGCATTCTCCTACTCCCTGTCTCCTCAAGAAATGGGCCCCTGCCATTCCAGCATCCTATGGGATGCTTTCTGTTCAATGACAATCTAATTATTGCTCTTAGGGTATCCTTGTTCCCTATCACTGCCCCCCCCATACTGTAATGCAAAGAGAACTGGAATGGGTGTGTGGCAGTTGTGACATTTCCCTTTTGCATTTTAGCTTTCTCATCTGTGAAATGAGAGGAAAGGACTAGATTATCTTTAAGGGATTCCAGCTCTGAGCTTCTGTGATTTCTTCTTTGTCTCTCTTCCTTTTCTGTCCCATCAACCCCAAGCCTCACCTTCGTCTCTACAATTTAGGTGTCATCTCTCCTCTCTCATACCAGACAATTTATCTTTTTCTTCCTTGCTCCTCTCTCCTTTTCCCCTTCCACAGGACTCCCCAAGCCAGCTGGTACACAGTGTTCAGGGTGGGGCCAGGTGGTGTGCGGAGTGTTAGGCTTCCCCCACAGCCCAGGCTGCAACTCGGAGGGCTCAGCCTCCACCAGGGAGATTTCTCACTATGGCTCCGCCCAGCCTGGCTCACAGATGCTGGGGAGTACAGAGCCCGAGTCCACTTTGAGAATGGTGATTTGAGATGTCACCTCTGCCTCCGCTTTGGCCAAGCCTCTGGTAGGTAAGGGGGAGGCAATGAGCTGGGGAAGCAGGGGCCAGGAAAAGAGTAATGAGGAGGTGACAACCTCAATTTCCTTACCTTAAAATCGGACCAGATGATTTCCCAAGGCTAACTAACTTTAAATTCAACAGAGCCTACGAGAAACCTTCTCTGTTAGCATCACCTCTCCCCACCCCCACTCCACCAACCTTGCAACCACATCATAGCCAAAAAAAAAAAAAAAATTCTGGGGGAGAGGAAGAAGAGGGTGGGGTCAGCAGTGAGCTAAATTAAGAGAGGAGTGGTGGAGACATTGTATCATTGTCCTCTTCCTACTCAAAGTGAGCATGAGGGATTTGACTCCTCATCCAAAGTGAGGGACAAGAATGTGATTCATCCTTTGTAGCAGGAGACAAAGGACGAAAGGATCCTATGGGTGGGCTTGGAGAGTGGGGTGGGTAAGAAATATGATTTAATCCATTCACCAGATACTAATTAAACACCTGCTACGTGCAAGGACACAGTGCTAGGTGCTGGCTGGGTGGTTCAGGGTATGAGACTAGGGCTTTGCTATCAAGGAATTTACAGTGTAATTGTGGAAATATACTGAGAGTGATGTCTTTTCTCCCTCCTCGTAGTGACTGCCAGCCCTCCTGGGCCCATTGTGACCTCAGGGCTGGTGCTTCTGAACTGTTCTTTCAACCGTCCAGACCTCCCGGAAGCTGTGCTCTGGTCTCGAGGCCGGGCCCCCATAATCCCATCTTCCCGGCATTTGCCAGTTGGGAGTCTACTCTTCTTGTCCCATGTCACTCTCTCAGATGCTGGGCCTTGGGACTGCCACGTTATCTACCCAGATGGATTCAATGTCTCTGTTACCCACTACCTCGCTATCCTGGGTAACTTATAGCCTCCTTTTCCCCCCTTCAGAATTCCTGTTCCCTTTTCCCACTATAACTTTCCTTTTTCTTTTATTCTCTGCCTCCTCCGTTATGCCTATTGGTGACAAAACCAGCTTCTCCCACTCCCTCCAGACTTATGTGCATCATCCTTTCCAGGCCTTAGCAAACCTCTTCCTGGCTCACCTCACTAGGCTCTTCCTCCAGGAGCCTTCTCCTTTGTAATTAGGATCCCCTGAGTCCGACTCCTCTGGCAAATGTTTCCATCCTTTTCTGCACCCAATAAGAAGCCAGAACTGGTTGAGGATTCCCAGAAGCTTCTCCTTGGAGTCTTCAGCCCCTCCTACTTCCTGCTCCATCTTTCTCTCTCTTTTTTATTACCAGCCCAGCTGCCAGACTTCTCAGTACTGGCACCCCCCTATGCTCACTAAATCCTGTCTGGAGGTATGAAGGCCTTTTCTTCCGTGACTCCTGACTGGGAGAGCCTTTTCTGTCATCTCATTCCCTCCAACTCTCTTCTGCAAGGCCAGCCTTCATATATATACCTCTGCATGCACACCCTCCCCCTGAGTCTTTATACTGCCTTTCCTACCCCTTGATGTTGGCCTTTGAACTGGATTCTGCCCTCTTTCTAGGTCTGGAGCCCCTAACCCAGAAGACGGTCTATGTGGGAGAAGGATCAAAGGTGGAGCTTCCCTGCCATCTCAGCCCTGCTCCAGGAACTATGCCAGGGCTAATTGCCCAGTGGACCTTACCTTGGGGCAGAGGCAGCTGCCTTGTGTCGGGAGATGACAAAAGCAGCTTTGCCCTGAGGCTGGACCATGTGAGCAGAGCCCAAGCAGGGACCTACAACTGCAGCCTCAGTTTTCAAGGGCATCAGCTCAGTGCAGCAGTCACCTTAGCTGTCATTACAGGTCAGAGAACAGGGAAGAAGTCCAGGCTGGGTATGGTTCTGGAAGTTAGAGAAGGAAGGCCGGTGAACAGGAGAGTCAATAATAAACAAATTTAATAATAAATTCTCACAAAAATTCAGGATGCTGGATAGTGATCAGAGGCTCAGGTCACTTCTGCTTACTTCCCCACCCCTTATAAAGTACAGTCTTTGGCTAAGGAAGAGGAACGGGCTTTAAGAATTTCTAGAAGTGAGACATGGAGATTGCAAGGAAATAATTGTAAGAGATAGTAGTAAAGGCTAGACTTATTTACTGAGGGAGGTGGAATATATTCTGTAAACTTTCTCTTTATGAGGATCTAAGCCAGGATGAACTATTTGTAAAAGAATGACAACTTTCTATATTGATCCAGTGATCAAAGATCATAGTACTCCATAATCTCCATTCTAACAAGTATTTACTGCTAAGTTCAGGGGAATGCTAATTAATAAAAAAAAAAAAAGAAGGAAAAACCCTAGAATCACTTGAATTTTTTCCTATGTTAAATATTCCTGAATCTGACCACCCCTTAGTAGCTTGAATACCTTCTGTACTTTCAGCCCCCTCCTACCTTCCCTCCTTTATTATTCTTTGTTTGTTCTGCATATCTGGCCATCCCTTGACCTAGGCCTAGCTGGAACCTCTATTGAGATTTGAGGAAAGGATAGAGGGAGGAAGGAACAAGCATTTATTCAGCCTATTATGTACCAGTCACTGTGCTATTAATTGTTTTATAAATATTATCTCATTTAATTTTCACAACAACCTTGGGGGCTAGGTGCTATTATCATCTCCCTTTTACTGACAAAACTGAGGTAGACAGTGGTTAAGTGACTTTCCCAGGGTCACATAGCTAGTAAGTGAGTATCTCAGGCTGGATTTCAATTCAGGTCTTCCCGCCTGCAGGCCCAGGGCTTTATCTAACTACTGCACTAGCTAGCATCCTCAGTGCAATAGTCACCTTGAAGTGTTTATTTACAGAAGAGAGGTTTTTATTTATAGAAAAAGAGTAAGCTTTAAGGCAAGGAATGTTAAAACAATCCGGGCACTAGAAAGCTATCTGACCAGTGACAATTGGCAGGCCCTAAAATTCCTGCTTTCAAACTATTGATCCTGAAATTCCGTCAGGTTGGCCCAGGAGACTGGACTACCATTTTTGGCCTGCAGACTTGCTCAGACTCCTCCTTTCTCCCAAGTTACTCCAAGAGGACTTGGCTCCACTGTACTTTTCCAGGGAAGAATCACTGACAACTGCCCTCTTCCCTTGTGATTATACACTATAATTGCACATTGGCAGGAATTTCCTTCATTCATCCATGTATTTGTTCATTCATTCATTCATTTGCAAGAGTAGCAGAAATTATTATGTAAAGATGATTACACTTTATAGATGTCACTCTAATGTCCACAAAAGAACCCCTCCTTTTTTTTACAGTTTCTAGCCAAAATTTGACAAGTAATAAAGATTAAAATAAATAAAAAAAAAATAAAAAGAATAAAGATTCATTGGTTGAAGCACTGTGCCATGAGGGAGTATCAAAAAGTATTAGATGGTTTCTGCTCTTGAAGAGGTTGAATTCTATTTGAAGGGATGACATATGAACTAATTAGATACTTCAATACTTAGAAGACATACAATTTGTTAATGGGAGTGTTCCTGTCACTTTCAGTGCTTACACACACCCTTAATCCTAGTAGATGATCTTTGAGAATGACCGTGATTGACAATGAACATCTCCAAATGTTGTTGGGCTGGTTCTTGAACAACAGACAGATCATACTCTAGCCATACTCTAAGACTCTGCTTGTATGGTCTTCAAGAACTCGAGTATCTCCATGCCATGATGAGTAGGAGTTTAGCATAAAAATGTTTGTTGATTGAAAACCAACAATACAAGGTATGATGAGTTATCTCTAGCCATGATGTCTCTTCTGATCTTCAGTCTGGTATCACTGGCTGCCTATTGGATATACCCTAGATGTCTTGTTATTAACCTCAAACTCAGTATGCCTAAAAATAGACTCATCTTTTCCCCCCAAACCAATTCCCCACCTAGACTTCCCTATTTCTGTAAATGCATCATTATTTTGTCTCATCCAGTCTCAAACCTTCCTCTTGCCCATCTGATCCTTGGGGTGTATAGGATAGAGAGTGGTGAGACTGAGAGAACATGGTAGGGGAATGAGAATAGAATGAGGTCAGGGTCCCCAAATGATTCTTCTCCCAATTTCCCACAGTGACTGAAAAATCCTTTGGATCTTCAAGTTCCAGGAAAGGGCTGCTTTGTGAGGTGACCCCAACGTTCAGGCAAGAGTACTTCCTGTGGACCACCTTGGATAATCAGACTCTGGAAAACCCACCAGGGCCCTGGTTGGAGCTAGGAGATGAGGAGCTACAGGTCGAGCAGTGGCAGTGCCAAGTGTGTCAAGGGACACAACAATGTGGAGCTGTAGTTTACAACCTGGGGCTTCAGGGCACAGGTCTGAGACCCCAAATCCCATGGCACCCCAAACTCAGCCTAGAAATCCTGACCCCCCTCTTCCGGGTTCCCTGAATTCTGTTTTCCACTTTGCCTCTCCTGGCCCATCCCTCCTCCAAATACCATAACCTTGTCCTTCTCTTTCCCCTGTGCCTTGTCTCATAGGTGCCCAGCTCTCTGGGAGGAACCCAAAAGCCCTGAAAGGAGGGAAATATCTCCCTCTTCTCCTCAGCTTTGGCATCTTACTGCTTCTCTTTTCTGGGATAGGAGCTGCTGTGTTTCGCTTTCGACAAAGGAAGGTAAACTCTGGAATATGCTCTTTTACCTCCGGGAAAGTAGATCGACAGCCCACAGGACTATCTCCAAGATTCCCCCTCCTAAGAGAACCCTCCTCACAGAGATCCTCTCCAAAAATCTTTTCCCCTCCCCTAAGATTACAAACCCTGCCCCAGGCCCTACTCCCTATCTGCCTGGGGAGGGAGTGCATTGGGAAATCTGCTCCTGGGGTTCAGAAGGGGAGAGCTAGGGAGGAATAACAAGGATGGGAAGGGGCTAATTCTTTCCGATGAGGAATGTTGAAGTCAATATCCCTCCTTTTCCCTACAAGCTGCCTGGGAGTTTTTCTGCCCTGGAAGATGCAGCTCAAAGGCCTCAGAGACAAAACAAGGCAGAAGAAATGGAGCCAGAGAGCCAGAGTCAGTGTTAGAGCCTGGAACATTGGCAGGAGTGGTCCTGACATAAAGATGGGGCAGTCCTTTGAGAAGCAGCTCCTTCCTTCCTCGAGATTTGCCTTTCCACACCAAGTAAACTCCACTTCCTCAGCAGGATGGCCTGTGGTTCCTCCATAGCCTATGCCTCCTCTATCTTTTTGCTTCCCTGGGAGACCCCCATGACCCACCTCTTTCAGGTCCTACCTGGCTCCTCATCAGCTTAGTTTGGTTTCTGTAGTACTTATAAAGTTTTACAAAGCACTTTCCTCACAACTCTTTGAGGTGGATGGTGCAAATGTGATGTGGTCTCCATTTTACATAGGACGCTCAGAAAAATTAAGTGATTTACTTTTGGTCTTCTTCCCTCTCCATTTTTCTATTTCTGCCTCTGTCTTCTTTGGCTTATCTGTCACTGTCTCCTCCTCTAATCTTGGCTCAATCTTTTTTCTGAGGCTCCAAACAAGTCCCTAGTCTAACCTCTTCCACTTTCTTCCTAAACCCATGCCTCTCTAGTTTAAAACACTTTTGAATATACATCTTCTCTTTTTTTATTATGAACTTGACAAAAATAAAAATAAATAAACATGTCTTCATACAAAGAGTGGAAAAAAGAGGGTTGTATATAAAACTATGAATCTCTATCATATCTGACTTAAAAAATATATGGGGCAAGTAGGTGTCACAGTGGATAGAGTGCAGGGCCTGCAGTCAGGAAGACTCATCTTCATAAGTTCAAATTTGGCCTCGGATACTTACTGGCTGTGTAACCCAGGACAAGTCACTTAACCTTGTTTGCCTCAGTTTCCTCATCTGTAAAATGAGCTGGAGAAGGAAATGGCAAACTACTCTAGTATCTTTGCTAAGGAAACCCCAGATTTGGAAAGGCCTGAAATGACTAAATCACAAGTATTGTGGTACTGGTACCAACATTTCCCCTGCTTGTCTGCTAACCATTCAAAACCTGCTTTCTTTTGGATATTTTTAATTTCATTGATGCTCTTTTTCTCCCTTTTAAGATTAAAAAAAAGTGACTATCCATCTATATGTATTCTGTCATTTATATAGGGCTATACAGTTTACAAAGTGTTGAGATACACTTTCTTTTTTTTTTCCTTTTTCTTTTCATGAGGCAATCAGGGTTAAGTGACTTGCCCAGGGTCACACAGCTAGTGAGTATCATGTCTGAGACTGCACTTGAACTCAGGTCCTCCTGACTCCAGGGCTGGTGCTCTCTCCATGAGATATACTTTCATTTCGCTCCCAATAACTCTGGGGTAACATACGATAGGTATTACCCCCAATTTTACTCTTTTGCAGACAAGCAAACAGGCTGAGAGATTAAGTGATTTGCCCATGGTCACTTGGCTACTCTGAGTCTGAGACTGGCTATGAAATTAGTTCTCTTGTACTACTAAGTCAAGTGCTTTTTTCTTTCTTTTAAAATATTTTACCAATGACTTTTTTTAAAGCAACATAGTCATATTCTCCCACATGCATGCTCCCCTGTAACAAAGAAAAACCAACTGACTACCTCTGACAACATTCCCTACTTGTAGCCCACTACCTCTCTCCCAAGGGAAGAGAAACATCTCATCACTGGTCTCCAGTCTTCTTCCTGCTTCACCACCAGCCTTTCTGTACTTTCCTTCTATTCCCTACTCTTCACTCCCCAACTTCAGTGTCTGCCCACCGGGTCCCCTCTGCACTCATCACCTGTCCTAGGTTCCTAATTGTAGTATTGGCCCAGGGTCTCCCCTCCTCCACCTACAATACACCAAATACACATCCCACACCAGGGAGAGGGAGAGATGTCTTAGCACAGGAGAGATGTCGGTCCTGTGGCTTTCGAGGAGGACACCTCCTTACTCCTTCCTAAACACCCCACCACCCCCCATCCATTGTCCCAGGCATGAGGACGTACTGCCACCTTGAGGCCAATCCATGAAGCGCAGACTAAAGGGAGGCCAGGTTGCACCACAAGGCATAAAAAGCACAGTGCAATACAATTAAAGCCAGCACACTTTTCTAGTGTGCACACGATGTATAGACTACCCAGCACACTACACACACCCATGCAGTGCCCCTTGGTACGGGGCATGCAATGCTGCTCATCTTTTAATAGGCATTCCCTAGGAATTTGGATCTGTGCCCAGTGCTCTGAGGAAAGGAATAGATCAATGAATACAAAAAGAGACAGAGTCCCTGACCTTGGAGAGGTTATAATCTGTCAAACAAGGTGGCTGCTACAAGGAATGTTTACATAATAGGTACAAGCCCACCAGTAGACAGTTTAGCACAAGAATCACTGTATGGAAGGCTGATGCAACTCTGGCTACTGCATGAAGTGGTCACAGAAGATACACTTTACATGTGTATCACGTTACGTCCTATCATACCAAGGCTCCTCATCAGCTTAGTTTGGTTTCTGTAGTACTTATAAAGTTTTACAAAGCACTTTCCTCACAACTCTTTGAGGTGGATGGTGCAAATGTGATGTGGTCTCCATTTTACATAGGACGCTCAGAAAAATGTTCATTGCTATATCATACTCCTTTTTCATGGGATAAAGTGTGGATTCAGTCAAAGTCTTTATGTTCATGCACATACAATCCTGAAAACACAGTATCATCACCAGGGGTCAGGAATATTATCCAACCAACATCAGTTTGCACACAACACAACATATAGACCCTCTCCCCACTTGTACGTCTTCTTCTGCCCGTATCTGTTTGGCATATCTACATTTCAACTAGCAATGTGTGCAGAGCCCTGGACTTTGGCTACAATGCAGAAGCCAACCTCTGCCAGGGAACTTTGGTCCTTTTCAGGGGAAAACAAATTCAAGGCCTCTATAAACACACAAAGTCACGTGGGCTGCATATGCCCTGGCTGTAGCACCTAATCAAAGGAGATAGTAATTGTAAATTGCTTAGCATGTGCCTAGCATATAGTAAGTGCTTAATAAATGCATCCTTCTTAATCTCTCATATTTATCCAGTGCTTTTGAAGGTCCCTTAAGTGCTTTCTTCACTATGCCCTGTGAGGTAGGCAGATAAATATTAAATCCCTAATTTACAGATGAGGTTACTGTGGATCAGAAGTAAAGGATTTCTCATAATCACACGCTTAATAAGTCTCCGAAAAGGAAGAATTTGAATCCAAATCTCTTGACTTCAGGTTTATCAAGTACATCACTTTGTGAACGAACATGCATTTCCAAAGTCTTGGATCTTAGTGCAAAGTGGTACCAGGATATGAAAGCCATACATAAGCCCCTGGAGCTAAATCTGGGAAAGGTTGGTCCATCCTTGGAGAGACAGAGTGGTCCAGGAGGTATGGTAAAGACATGAAGGTGTTTGCTATATCCAGAACCCTAAACAATATATGGTTCCCCCTGAAAAAAAAATGTGTAGGTGGTGGGATCTGTGACCCGGAGCACACAGGTAGTGGAATACTCCCTGATGAAATAGCCTAGTGAAAAAAATAGCAATAAAACCTTGTCCCCTTAAGCAGGGAGCACACTCTCCCACAAATACATTATCAATGGGAGGGAGGGGGGACACATGCAGGGAACACATGTGGCCAAGGCTTACATCTAGGAAATAGGGCACGAGGATGGAAGGCAAACCCATTGGGCCTCTGAAATTGCAGGACTAATAATGCCCTCTGGTGATATCATTGTGCTGCTCCCATAAGGCCTGTACCAGGTGGTGGCCAGGAGGCGTGCAATCACTGCTTGACATGTAATCTCTGATGGAAAAAAAAAACCATAAAAATACAATCGCAACCTTAAAACAACAACCACTACCACCACCACCAAAAGAGGGAATAAGACCAAATAAAGCCCTGAACCCCAAGCAATTTATAGTTAGTTTAAAAACATAATAGGTTGTAGGTATTTTTGCAATCCTCATCAAGTTGGGGAGCGTGTATTTCCCCGTGTGGAAAATACAATTGTGAGGCACCAGGAAGTTATGAGATCCATGCACTGGCCTACAAGTCTCAAGGTTCCCTGTTTCCTTTTCCTTTGTCCTTAAAAAAAGACCTCTCCACCCTTCCGAGAGGGGCTGGGATGTCTTGTCTGCCATTTTGCAACAGCTGACCTTGACAGAATCAGATTCCTTGGTTACCATTCAAAAGGGAGAGAGTGGGAGACCGTGACTGAACTAACATCATAGAGTCATAGATTTAGAGCTGAAAAAGACCTTAACAGGCCATGAATTCCAGCTCCTTCATTTTTCATATCTGGAAACTGAGGTACAGTGAGATTTAAGTGACTTGCCTTGGGTCAAACAGTTAGACAGTGTCTAGGGTAGTATTTGAACCCAGATCTTCCTGACTCCAAGTCCAGTGTCCTAATTACTACATCATACTCCTTTTTCATGGGATAAAGTGTGGATTCAGTCAAAGGGCCACACTTGAGGACCTAGAGGGCCACATTTGGCCTCAAGGCTACAGGTTCCCCACTCCTGGAATAGAGTGTTGGATGGGGCAGACTGCTACGGCTTACATTTCAATCTGGAGTGAACAGAAGCCAGTGGGGAAAAGCCAAGATCAATTCCAGTAGAGGCAATATAGACCTAGGAGCAGAAAAAACAGTGACCTAAGAGCAATATAGACCTAGGGACCAGAGTAAAAGAGGCTAGCTATCACAAATTCTGGTGGAGTGGTTTTTCTGTTCATTCCCTTGTTTGTAGCCCAGAACTGGGATCCAGTTACAGATGCCACTGGCCACCCCTCCCTCTTATTCCCTTGCCATAATCTTCAGAGAGGACAGTTCTGGATTTATCTGAATGTATCTATGGAATAGAGAAGGTAATCAGGAGGAATTTGGTGAGAGGGTTGCATAGAGAGCTACTTTTCATTTTTGCAATATTAAAAAAAAATGTGTCCACAGTAGGTTGAATGCCTGTATTTGTTAATGTGGGGGCATTGATGGACCCAATTTCATTTTCTATGGAAGAAAATTGTGGGAGGAGTAGGAAAAGAGAAGACTTGAGCTGAATAAAGAGAAGAAAATATTTAGGTGACATGGAAGGGTTTAGACTAGTGAAGAAAGTGAGAGGTTGAATTTGGGGAGGAAAATTGGGGGAAATGAAGAAAATTTTAAAAAAGATTCATTTCTAGGCCCAGATATTGGTTCAGGTTCTACTTCTGGGTTGAAAAAAGAACAAGATGGAAGACAATTAAAGAGGATATAAGGGATTAAGGAGGATTAAAAAGAATTTAAAAAAGATTAGAATTTCAAGAAGGAGAAGCAGAGTCAAGAAGGCTGGTGAGACGAAGCATTTTTGCCTTGCTCGCCCAATACCTTCTCCAAAACAACATAGAAAACATGCCAGAACAAATTCTGATCGAGAAAACCAAGAAAAAATCACAGTGAGTCATTTTTTCCCTTCTAAGGTAGCTGAGGGAGACAGTCAGATCCTGGGTGGAGAGGAGAGGCCATGAAGTTAAAGAGATGAACAGAATTTTAGAAAAGTTAGATATGATAGACCTTTTGGGGATACTGAGTGGGAAAAGAAAATAGCACAACTATTTCTTAGCTGTGTATGTTACCTTCATAAAACTTGGCCGTTAAGTCGTAAAACTTCACAAA